GAATCATGACATGGGCTGCCTGTAAATTTAAAATGTTACATTCAAGCTTTATAGATGCCTTATTTGCATATAAAGTAGCCCTACAGTCTCATCTGAATTTCAATGTAGCAACTCAATATGTAAAGCACCTGTTGCATTCCCTGAGTGAGGCAATGCATCAAATTTAGTCTCAAACTTGTCAATACACTTATAGCATCATTTTATGAATCACTGCAGCTGTATTCCCTGGTTTGAGACAAAACTTGATGAAGCATTGCCTCACTCTAGGAATACAACAGACATACACAATGAGTTGCTACATTTCTAGCTAGTTTTTCATGTACAATACTAGTTTGACAAGGACTTACACAACACTAGCCAACAGTCTAATTTATCAGTCAATAGCATGGCAATCATTTTTGTGATATTGTCGTACTCATAAAAATTTTGTCCAGGAACTTGTCACACCTAGTACTGTCCCAGGTTCTGGATACAAATCCCACCTTTGCCACAATTTTATTTTAGGGCAGGTCAATATGGTTTGTTAATTAATTATTTCAAGCAAAATTGATCAACATCATTAGGGAAATACCATGGGTTGAGAGACAATTAAAATTAAAATAATCTCAGACAAGTAGCAAAAGGAGAGGGCAGAATTCACTACAGATGTCAGTCACAGTCATATAACTTGCATTCCCAAGGTAAACTGTCCATGACTTCTATCAAATGCTTTGTTCCTTTTTTATATCAGAGATATCATATCTGATCTTGTACATGCCACTTCTAACTTTCCTTCCCAAGACTTTGCCCCCCTTAAGTAATCCCAGGAGGAATGGGAAAAACACATGCTACCACAAGCCCAAAGCTGGGATGAATGGAAGGTGCATTTTAAAATTTAGATCCAGAAATACAGGTACTCAGCTGACCAAGGCTTCTCTCTCTCTCTCTCACTCTCATGATGCCTAAGGTCTATCCTTTTCACCTCCTGTGAAACCACACCTGGTGCTACCTTTATCCAACATGAGCTCATGCAAATACAGAACCATGGCAGCAATGATGAATCCTCCATAAAAAATTTTTCATACAAATATTGCAATATATATGCAGCAAGTTGATGATATATATATATATATATATATTGGCTGATATAGATTGATAGTGTGTTATCACAATAATTGGCACTGCCATACTTTTTCTTTCTCAGTAGGGGCAGGCATGCTGAATGCATATTGCCATGTTTTTTACTGGAGTCATACAAATTTTCACTTGACTTGGACATTCATGCAGGAAATATTCCTCATATGATTGTCTGAGTCAAGTGAAAAAACTAAGACATTATGCAAGAAAAACTTTTAAAGGGCAGAGAATAGCAAGGAATGGGAGTAGGCCTAGTCATGGAAGAGAATGGACACCAT